AGCAGGGAGTTGTTGTTCTCCCCAAGTCCGGCCCGAGGCCAGGCTTGACTTGTGAGAGCTTGGTCCACCAGGCTGTTGCTTGGAGCGGCCCGCAGGCCCACATACCCACCACAGGCCGGTTGGTCCGGCACTCCTTGGGAAAAATGATCTAGTTTTCTCTTGACGATGTCCACGGTTGTTCCGGCAATATTTCTTGTGCTCGCTGCGAGAATGTTGAACAACCGTGGACTTCTAATGTTTATACAGTGTTCTCCGATTGTGCCTATGGCACCCCTGCTATTCACTGGCTCTATTCTGCATTTTCTTGCATATTGTTCACTCCAGTATGTTGTTATTTTACTGTGTAGATTTGGGACCTGTCCCTCCAGTATCTTCCACGTGTATATTGGATATCTCTCCATTAGTCTCATGGAGCCCAGGGGAATGAAATTATTATTATTATTACTGAAGGTAAAGAAAAGACTCAATACATGTGTAAGTACTGTATATTAGTAAACTATATTTTCAGATAACTGGCATCCTTTGTCAAGCTGCTGCAAACAAACAGAACATTGTTTAAAATTCCTTAATAAAGGATGCAGGTTTATTTGAAAATTTGCTTTAATAATAAATTTATGCAAGTTTTGGGTGATTTCTTCACCTTCATTTAAACATTGTGCTACTTTTTTATTAGAAAGTTATAATAAAATCATTGCCATAATCTTTTATTATTATTTTTATTATTATTTGTTATTATTGTTGTTGTTATTATTTGTTGTTATTATTGCTGCTGCTGCTCGGAGAAATCACATTAATTAATAATTAATTAACATGATTTACCACACCAGAGTGTAGGGGGTAATTTGTGGAACACTGATTTCATATTGATAAGATGCCTCAGGACCCCTAGAGGATTAAGTTGAATCTCGGGTTACATTACTTTTCTGTGGGGAGCCCATTTGGAAGCAAGGGAGGGGGGGGTAGGATGAACAGGGGAAGGACCAGAGAACGCAGACTGAACCAAAGGCGAAGCGACTAACGCTCCCAGGTCCGGGTCCCTATAACCAAAGTGGGGCAGTCGCAGGGCATCTGGGTGGGAAACCAACCTAGTGCGTTGCAGCAACCTAAACCTAGCATGCAATGCGGATGCTGCCTTTATCCTAACAATAATGTCATCAGAACAGTACTAGAGAACAAGCAGAGAACACAACTCGCAAGACTCGCAATTCGCAAGACTCGCAACTTGCAAGACAAGACAAGAGCACACAGCAACCTTTGAACCCACACAAGGCGAGCTGGAACTCGGAAGACGCATCCATTGGTCCACCGAGCCCCTACAGGGTTTTCTTATCTGCCATCGACTGGAGTTAGGCACCCAGAAAGGTAGGCTTAAAAAAACAGACCCCACATGGTAAGAAAACTGCAACCGAGAACTGAAGAGAAGCAAAACTCCCAAGGAAACAAGCAAATGTCACACCTCACTGCCACGGTGCTTGTCCACACAGCCCTCCCCTCCTCGGGAGGGGGAGGGGGGAGCATTGGACCCCTCACACCAGCTACCTAGCAACTCCAGTTTGTTGGTTAATGCGATCCAGGGTGGTTCTTAACTCTGGCGTCAGTTTTCTGGCAGTGTTTTGCCTTAGTGGTGTTCTCTGCTGTTCGTGGTGTTCTCTGCTGTTCGTGGTGTGGTGGCCAGGTGTACTTTAGTGTACCGGGGCTGTATGAGCATACGGCAGCCTTCCCTAAGTTCCCTGTGAGTACTACCCTTGGGTGTTATCTTCCCTGATGCTTTCCGGACGCCATTTCCGTTGGCGTTTTGCTGCTCAGCATTTACCCCGCCCTTGCGGCCAGCTGGGGTTTTGTGGCCCTTGTTTGGCCTTGGGTAGGTAGTGATATTTGATTATTCAGTAGGGAGTTGCTGGTTGGGGCATCAAGGTGTTGCGCAGCCAGCTTACCTATGCAGCGACCAGTTTCTGTTTCCTCTGGGAATGTTATACTTTTGTGGGGGTTTTCTTTTACTTTCTGGGGGAAGCTTCCTTCTGCTTCCCGGAGCTATCCAGGCTGATATGGATATATTAGACTTTGGCATCATTGTGAATGGAGTTCTAGGCCTACCAGGTAGCACGAGCCAGAACCTGGCTCCCTCGGAGAGGCATGAGGAGCAATAGCCTATAGAAACCCCCCACGTAGTTGGAAGCATTCTGTGTCTGCCATCGACCGGGTCAAGCAGCCAGAAAGATAAACAATTATTAAAAGGACAAGACAAGTGTCTTGTCTTGTCTTATGACAAGTGTCTTAAATGCCGCAAAATACACCCATATTCTGGTTAAGAAATTGTTACTGAAAGCAGAACTAGTGGATAGAGCTCCCAAATGAGCATGACATCACCCCATCACCGTGCTGCTTGTCTGCGCAGCAGTCCCCCCCCCCCTCTCCCCGTTGGATGGCGATCCTGTCCTTCTGGAGGTTTTCCCCTTCCCTCTCCCGGGAAAGAGGGAGCCCCAGACCCCTTATGCAGGCTATCCACACCCCAGTTCTATGGCTGATGTGATTGGCAAGGGTCGTGTGACTCTGGCTCCTGTTTTCCTGTCCTCCAACCCTGTGCCTTGTGGTGAGTGGTGCTGGTTTCCCTGGTGGTGTGCGAGCCAGGAGTAATTTCACAAGTACTCGGGCTGCATGTGCCTAGGGTTCCCTTCCCTAGGTGCCCTTGGTGCTTGGGGCCACCTTCCACAAGTCGCCTTGGGATCTACCTCTGCTTAATATTTTGCTGCTCAGTGATAGACTGCCCTTAGTGTGCTGGGGTGTTTCATGCACCCTTTTTTGCCTTTGGGTAGGGGTAGTTTGCACTTGTAGTGGCACAGGGTACTGCACAGCTAGTTTTCACCTCTCATAGCTGCCGGCTTTGTTCCGTCTGGGTACGTTGTCCTCTTGCTAGTTTTTTGTTTGTTTTGTTTTCCTGCCTGGTGGGGGGTTCTGCCCTTGGTTTTGGTAATTCCCCCCCCCCCCCCCTATTGTTCTTGGTGGTCCCCCTGCTAGGCCCCCCCATGAGTGGACACGTCCCGGTGGTTCAGCTTTTAGCAGTCGTCTTAGTAGACTTTGGTGCTGGTTAGCAGTAACCTGCCTGGGCTTTCCTTAGCGTGTTTCCTGTCTAAGGGTCCTGGGAAACCCCGCGGGGGCACTTGAGTCCGATAAATGCGTCCTCTGGGTCCCTTCTCGCCTTGTGCGAGTTTGAAGGTTGCTCTGTCCCCTTGTCTCAGGGTGACATTCACCCCTTCTGCCTGCCATGCTGCCTGTTGGGTCGGTGACACCTTCGACCCAAAGTCCTGCGAGTTTTTGTTGCTTGTTTGTGACTCGGTACACCCAGCCCACTGATGATTGTTCAGGTGCAGGCAGCTCAGGCGTTGCATGCTAGGTTTAGATTGCTGCAGCACGCTAGGTTGGTTAATTCAGAAAAGACCTGTATAAGTACAGTATTGGGTTGTAAATAGGAGTGTTGATTTATTAAACAAATTACTAGAATACACACACGACTTAATCACTGGAGTGTTTGAAGAAAAAGTTACCCCCCCCCCCCCCCCCCGAGAGAGAATATATATATATATATATATATATATATATATATATATATATATATATATATATATATATATATATATATATATATATATATATATATATATATATAAAATATAAAATATAAAATATAAAATATACATATATACACACATATATATACACATACATACATGCACTGTATAAGAACAAACAAATTGTAATGCTCAGAACTCCAGTAAACTATTAGCCTCTGTGGAAGGGAAATTGAGGTCGGTTTCAAAAGAGCTTAGGGAAAGGTTAAGGGGGCGTCTGGTTGGCATCTGGGTCCAAAAATGCAAAAATGAAAACTCATTCGATTTCAATCAAACTTTTTTGTCAAGTTCTATATGAAAAGTGTTTCATCTGGTCCAAGTTTCAGCATTGTAGCATAAACAGGAAGGGAGAAAAAAAATATTGAAGTAGTTGTGAAAATTATGCAAAAATGGTCAAAATCGATTATCAATCAAAAGTGTCAACTGAAATCATAACTACAACTCTTTGCTATCACAATAGCATATATTAAACAAATATTATTATTAGTTTAATTGGAAAAAAATTTTAAGGAAAAAAAAAAAAAAAAGGATTTTTTTTTCTTTTTTTTTTTTAAATATTTTTTTTTTCATTTTTTTTGGGGCGATTTGCATCAAACTTACACACCTGACTGTACGTAAGCCTATCTGTAAGGATGCCTATTTTGGAGAAAATTGGTTGATGTCAACCCCAGCCACAGATTTTAGAACCTTAGACTTTATTCATTTCTGTTTTTTTTTCAATTGACACAAACGTTTACAAAACTCATTCTTTTTTTATTCAATTTACATGAAACTTACACAGTATATGTGGAGGGCATGTCTTTACATTGGGGGGCTTTCATTTTTCTCTAAGTTCATTTATTGATTTTATAATAGCAATAAACATGCCATATTTGCAAAAAAATTTTGGGGAACTTTGAACATTTGTATTAGGAAAACTAAAGATGTTTTGGAAATTCTAAATCCCCAAATCCTTTATTATATGCTAATGTGTCAGAAAAGTGTCACAGAATAATTTTATCTGAAACGTGTGTTCTGAAGTGTGGACTTGAAAATGTGTAAAAAACGTTCAAAAAACAAAAAACAAAAAAAAACTCCCTTTCTATTTACGCTGCAGTACTGAAACTTGGGACAATTTAATCACTTTTCATATACAACTAGAAAAATAATATTGGTTGACATTGAACAACTTTCATTATAATAACCAGACGCCCCCTTAAATGGAGCCTAGAGATAGCAAAATATGAATGAAGATTGCTATGAAAGCACCAACCCAGAGAACAAGTTTTGCATGGAAGAGTAGCATAAAACATTTGTATGTACTGTACTTTTGTGTATTTGTACTGTATTTTGTTTACTTTTAAGTTCTCATGGATTATTATTTTCATCCTACAGGCAGTTGGCAGCAGGGTAAGCAACTACAAAAGCCTTACAAACATTATCACAGTCCCTTCACTTTATCAAGGATGACCAGTGGTAACATTTTCCATCCTTCAGACACTACTTTGGGGGTTGCTTCTTTGCCATTATGGTCTCTTCCTGATACTTCATACAAGAATTGTCGTGTTCGGCTGTACTCTACCAAGCCTCCCTCTGTGCCTTCTTCAGCTGGTAAGTTAAAGTTTTAATTGATGTAGGATAATGAATTGTATATAATTTTGTTACTCTGTTCCTACCTGCAATAAAAGGTAGTTCTTATGCCCTTTTCACCACTTGATAAAATATTGTGCCAGCAGAGTTTGCTCCAGGTAGAGAAATCATGTAGTAGACTGATCATCTGATAAGAAATCTTCAGAAATAACTGTAAGTTTGTAAATAAATAACCCAGCCTCTACTTATGAAATAAGTGACAAAGGTTTACTAGATCCTTACCAAGCTTATAGTAGTGATTGAATATAACAATTCTCCAGAAATGGTTCAGAATTTCTCCACTTGCCATGTAGAGCTGCTACTCCAGAGCTCAGTCAGTCAGTCAATCATAATCAAACAGCTGGAAGATTACTGAACCAGCACTTCCTCATGACCATGGATGTGGCTCGCTTATAAGAGTAGTGATAGTCTGATAGTAGTTCATGGCAAGTGTATCATGTGCCAACTCAGGAGTAATGGATACATGCTAATCTTAATGAGTAGTGCCTCAGACCAGCATGAAGGCTCTTGATTAAAGAGAGGCCAGTTCAAATCACTGAAACAAGAGCCTCCTAATGGTATACTAAGTTTAAGGCTTTTGATCAATACCATATCTTGCAGCCAGTAGTATCTGTCAATTTAGATAACACTGTTGTGTAAAGTATATGATGTTACAGTTACAGCTTGCAGAGGAGAACCAGCAAACCTAATCATGATGAAATTTCAGCCCGTCCTCCAAAAATGGGGTGGTAAATGTAAGGAGACAAATATGTGCAATTATGTACTATTCATAGCAGTTAGGAATTGTACTTATTTTCACTTAGTATTAAATCGTACTGTCAAATATATTGTGAATATTTGAGTTTACCCCAAAAACTGAATAGAAAACCACAACCTCACCTAACCGTCTTAGTTTTTGAAGATAATAATTTTATTGCTTCTTAATTACAATTAGTACTTAACCTATAGCTATATTGATATTACAGTTTTATAAAACTAATAAAACAAAACTAAAATATATCAATAAATTGTAAAATAACTCAGGATATTTTAAAATTTTGTATAAAATCTATATTGTTTAATAAACCAGAAAAAAAAATTCTTGATATTTAAAACTTGTGTATTGCAAATTGAAATTGAAAATTTCATCCTAAAATTCTGTGTGTCTTAACAGAAAACGAGGAGAATTAAATCGGGGGAGGGAGTTGGGTAAATGTAACAGCCCCATAAGTGCAATTATGCACTGGTTATGACAGTTAGAAAGTGTACTTATTACACTTAGTATTAAATCGTACTGTCAATTCGGAGGATGGGTTGTGAAATTTATTTGTTCAGGTGAAAGTAAAACAAAGTGCTTAGAATCATGGTTTATTTTTATAAATGCATTACAGGGAACAAGATTGGCTGTGAACTTGGGTAAGTAATGTGGAAGAACTATTCAGAAGATAGAGATGTGTGTGAATATACAAATCATGGAACTGGTTGAAAGATTCCTACCCCTCCAATATTCACCTTTAATTCATTTCATTTCCTGGCAAAATTAAAGAGCGATTAATAATTAAGATATTTAATGAGAATCTATGATATTTACCTGGAGTTCCAAGAGTTCTTCTACTTCCTAAGACTGGCCTGGGGCCAGACTTGGCTTGTGATTACTTGATCTAAAAGACTGTTCTTTGGAGTGGCCTGCAGGCCCACATATCTATTACTGCTGGTTGGTTTGGAACTTCCTCTAGGATCTTGTCTGTTTCAGGAACAAACCTGCTTTTGTTCTGATATTTAAAGAACCAGATGTTTGGACACTTTGAAACAAATTTGTTAGTTGATGATTTATATGTAATGTACTTATCAAAATCATTATAAAAGCAATGTACATTATTAATTAAATGAACTTGCTATGTAGTTCATACATACACACAGTCGGTGGCACCCCTTCCTGTCCAGCTCGTTGTTGCCGTGGAGGGGCTTAGTGGGCGGCTGCCGGAGTGTGATGCTCGTTAGGGCAGTCCCCTGTCCTTTTGTAGCCTTGTGCTCCTGCTGCTGTCGTCACAAATTTTGCTGGACGCCTTTTCCTTTTGTTTCGTTTTTCTTCCCCCCCTCTTCTCCTTTCTCGTTGTCATTTCCGGCTGACCTTGTGCCTGTTTTGATCATTCTTTTGGCCTTTTGTTTTGACGCCCGGGTATTTGAGGAGGCATACTTTTGCACCCGTAGAAGTGTAGTACCCAACGTCTTGAGTGAGGGGAACCTTTTATTGTCAATCCCCCTTTCGTCACTGAACCCGATCTCGACGGACTGACGGTTCTTTAGGTGGCGTTTCGGAGCGTATACTCACGACGCATCCCTAGGGGGCCCCGGCATGATCGGCGATAGCTTCTTGTTGGGTGTCCTGCCTCTAATTGTGGCTCCATGGTGGGTATGGGGGCACATTCGTGATTGAAAAAGTCTCTTTTCGTCTTTGTCATTGAAGGTTTCTCTTGTACCCTCTCATTCTCGTAGGGTGAGAGACCAAGCCCCCCCGAGTCGGACTGTATTGGAAGACCGGGCTCTATAGCCCCCACTGCGTTGGGCCCCGACCTAGCTTCTCCTTTGACCCTCCTGACTTCTCCCCTTGGCTCCCCTCCCTTCTCTGTGGTTGGGTCGAGCCACAAGCCCCCAGTGGTGACCACTTTGTCCCCTGGTGCGGCTCAGTCTCTCGTTGTGACTACTGCACCTTTTAACCCCTCTTTCTCTGGGGGTTCTCAACGCCGTCCGCACCACAGCCGCACTCGCTCAATTCCTTCCTGTACAGATGTGTATCAGGCCTTGTTTGATATCGCTTCGTGGGCCAAATACTTTGATCTCCTCCCTCTTGATTCTATGCCTCCTGACAATTTCTCCTTTCATAAGCATCTTGTTGATTCCGTAGATGCCTCTGTTACCTTCAACCCCACTCGTCTCTGTACACGTGTCGTTGCTGCTCCTAATCAAGACGCAGCTTCCCGCTTGGCTGCCTTATCCTGCCTTGGCGAGACCCCTGTTCGGGTCTCAAAGAACACTAGGTTGAATGCCAGTGTTGGCACTATTCTCCTCCTGCCCCATGTTGCAACCGGTGTTCGGAATCTGCAGGACTGCCACGATAATATTCGGCATATCCTCGATGCCCAAGGCCATTCTGTCCTCCAGGTAGACACGTTTACTCGTCCCCCTCGTGGTCGTCGCCATCAGCCCCTTTGGGTTGTGAAGATTACCTTTGATGGTAGGACCCTTCTGCCCTCTGTCATTCTTGCTGGTGCCAGGTGCTCTGTCCAGGAGTACATTCCCTCTCCTCAGCTCTGTAATAAGTGCTGGAGGTTTGGGCATGGTGCCCTCCACTGCTCTGGAACTCTCTCATGTCCTTTGTGTGGGGGTGAAGGTCACTCTAAGTCGGAGTGCACTTCTCCCCAGGCTCGCTGCCTCAATTGCGGTGAGGCCCACCCTACCTTCTCCCGTGCGTGTATAAATTACAAGCTTGAAGCAGCCGTCCTCAACTTGAAGCACCGGGAGCGTTTATCTTTTCCTGAGGTGAGGTGCCAGGTTCGCCGGCTCCCACCTTATGCTAACGTCTCTTATGCTCGCGTGTTGCGCTCTTCCTCTCCTCGTCCTTCCCACCTTCCTCAGACTCGAAACCATTTCTGGCCCTTGGACCCTGATACGCCCACCGCTCCCTCCTCTGTTCCTTTGAGTTCTGTCCCGAAGGGTCCCCCTTCCTGGTCCTGTGTCTGGGGTTCCCCTTCTTTTTGCCCGGTCTGTCATGTCTCCTGTGTCTTCTTCCTCATTTCTCTCCGATCCTCCTTCCCATCCTCCTCCTCCATCTATTGGCCCTCCACGCCGCCTATCAGTACGGGCTGATGTCCATCACTCTCCCAACGGCCATCGTGTATGCTCTCATTCAGCTTCTGTTGAGACGCTGGAATCCGTTGCCCAGTACGTAGTTGCTGGGACACCTGTCTCTCTGCGTCAGAAGCGTAAGCCTGGCTCCTCTCCTTCCTCCTCCCCGGTGGGTAAAAAGGCTTTGCTTTCTTCCTCGCCCCCTACTTCTGATTCTCTCGCTCCGTCCCTTCCTGTTTTGGTGGTTACGCTCCCTGTTCCTGCTATGGAGGTCTCTTTGGCCCCCGCTTCCCTCTCGGTTGGTGCCCTTGCTGAGGTGCGTCCCCTGGTTTCTACCCCTCCTGCTGTTGTCCTTGACCTTTAGTTATCACTCCCCTCTTCCTCCTCCGAACCCTACTCGTCCACCCCTGGTCAGTCCTCTAGCTACATTCCCTCCTTCTTTACTCAGTTTACCCATGCCCCCTAACCCTCACTTTGCTGACCCTGACCTTGATCCTGCGCTTCTTTAACGTGCTGTGTTCCCTTTTCGCCTTTGTTTCTTTGTTATTCTCTGTTGCTGTCCTTCCTCTTCTCGTCGATGTCTATTCTTCAAAGGAACTATCAAGGTTATTTCGCTAATTTCCTTGAACTCCAGCTTCTGATTTCGTGGTTTTCGCCCCTTTGTGTCTGTCTCCTGGAGCCAATGCTTGGTGCTCTTCCTGGTCGCTTTCGTGGCTATTCCTTTCTCTTTCCCTAACTCTAACTCTTCTGCTCTCTTGATTCGCTCTGATGTTCCCTTTGTCCCCCTTACTTTTAACTTCGCCTCTCCATTGTTCTGCTGCTCGTATCTTTGTGAGGAAATGGTACACCGTTTGTTCCATTTATCCACCCCCCCCTCCGAGTGCCTCACTTTCTCTTCCCGATCTGAAACACCTACTGGACTCCTTGTCGGAGCTTGTGCTCCTGCTGGGTGATTTCAGTTGTCGTCATTCCCTTTGGGGTGATGTTCTGACGAACACCCGGGGTCAACGCCTTGAACCGTTCATCCTCTCTTCTTCCCTGTCTCTTTTGAATTCTGGTGAGCCCACGCATTTAGACTCTCGGACTCGCACCCTTTCCTGTCTTGATCTTTCTCTTTGCTCGTCTTCTCTTTACTT